TAATATTTAATAGACATTATATATATATATATATATATAATTTGCTTGCACTTTCCTGGATAATATTCTGACTAAATCAATGCACACTGGGTTAAAGAACCTAAAAAAAAAAATTTTTTGGTACATTTTTTAAAACCTTTTTAAATGTAATTTATTTTTGTAATTAATTTTTTTATTGTATGTGTATATATGTATATATGCCCATTACTGATTACAGACTATATGATGAAAACTGTAGTTATTAACATAATCTAGGTTACTCATTTTAGAATAGTCTAGAAATATGGCACATAGTCTTAGAGTTTGTACTCGTCTAACTGGGGCCCAGGTCAGGAAGCAGACAGACTGGCTTAACCGACCGTCTGCTAGCCGCCTCATGTCACAGAAATCAGTTCATTCTCAGCCCATAGAAACTCTTTCACCTGGATATCAATAGAGAATGTGTCTGCTCCCCGAACTAGAAAATACAAAAAACGTAACAATTGAATTTATGTTCAACAAATAAAAAACAGATGTAATACGGATAAACAAATGATAAAGCTTGGCTTATTGAAACGTTCCTCTCGTTGATAGCAGAGGAGCGGATCCAGCGAGAGCTTGATGGGGCGACGCGGAATTAAAAAGTTTTTTTTAGGAGTCGTGGTAGTAGAGGCGGCGCAACTATAATGACGTGTGAATAATCCCGCCCACTCTAAAGTGGTACTGAACTGCAGTGGAAACGCGAACCGTGCCATACTGAGCCGTACCGAACCGAGTCGCACTACGCAGTGGAAAAGCGCCATAACTGGGGCCCAGGTCAGGAAGCAGACAGACTGGCTTAACCGACCGTCTGCTAGCCGCCTCATGTCACAGAAATCAGTTCATTCTCAGCCCATAGAAACTCTTTCACCTGGATATCAATAGAGAATGTGTCTGCTCCCCGAACTAGAAAATACAAAAAACGTAACAATTGAATTTATGTTCAACAAATAAAAAACAGATGTAATACGGATAAACAAATGATAACGCTTGGCTTATTGAATATCAGGTCCCTTTCTACGAAAGCACTTTTTGTAAATGATATGATTACTGATCATAACCTAGATGTGCTCGTTTGAAGTAATGGTGCTTAATATAACATTATCCAGAGAAACAAGTGTTTATGATAAATCCCCTGTGATGTTTGTACTGGCTACTGTATACAGGCCACCAGGGCACCATACAGACTTTATTAAAGAGTTTGCTGATTTTATATCCGAGTTAGTGCTGGCTGCAGATAAAGTTTTAATTGTTGGTGATTTTAATATCCAGACCAGGACAACTAGATGAGCCCCAGATACAGATCCCCAGTAAAGACCTTGTCTCAGACGGCCACCGGGATAAGACCACAGGAGCCAGATGAGTCCTCTGCACAATCTGACTTTGCTAGAGCCTGGACTTGAACTGCTGGTTTCGTCTGGCCAGAGGAGAACTGGCCCCCCGACTGAGCCTGGTTTCTCCCAAGGTTTTTTCTCCATTCTGTCACCGATGGAGTTTTGGTTCCTCTGGCTTGCTTAGTTGGGGACACTTCATTTCCAGCGATATCGTTGACTTGATTGCACAGATACTATTTAAACTGAACTGAGCTGGATGATGACATCACTGAATTCAATGATGAACTGCCTTTAACTGAAAAAATGAGTGTGTACTATTGTCACTTTGCATTATTGACACACTATTTTCCTAATTAATGCTGTACAGTTGCTTTGACACAATCTGTATTGTTAAAAGCGCTATATAAATAAAGGTGACGACTTGACTTGACTTTAGGTAATGTATTCTGACTACTTTTTAGATCACTTTTTTTTTTAATCTAACTTACAACTAAACATACCATATTGATATAAAAAGCAAAGGGAAAGAAAATAAATTCCATTTTTGGATTTCAACATCATAAAATGCATTAAACATTACATTAAACCAAGGTTTCAAATTGGGCTTAGTGTAAGAACTGCAGTGGGTTTGTGAATTGATAAAAAGTTATTTTTAAATAAGGTATTATAAAATGTAAAATAGATAAACACTTGAACACTAAAAATTGAAATATTTAATTTGTTTACCTGTATGTCAATGTGACCATTAAGCGACATCGAACTGTAAATGCAAATGTGAATATTAACTTCCTCAGAGATATTTCAAGTAAGTATCTCATGTCAAATGAGTTTGGCTGACAAAAACGTTAAAATATATATTTTTTTGGCTTATGGTAGAGAAATGAACATTCAATTAACGGGCAACAGCTCTGGTGGACATTCCTGCAGTCAGCATGCCAATTGCACGCTCCCTCAAAACTTGCGACATCTGTGGCATTGTGCTGTTTGATAAAACTGCACATTTTAGAGTGGCCTTTTATTGTGGCCAGCCTAAGGCACACCTGTGCAGTAATCATGCTGTCTAATCAGCATCTTGATATGCCACACCTGTGAGGTGGATGGATTATCTCGGCAAAGGAGAAGTGCTCACTAACACAGATTTAGACAGATTTGTGAACAATATTTGAGAGAAATAGGCCTTTTGTGTACATAGAAAAAGTCTCAGATCTTTGAGTACAGCTCATGAAAAATGGCGGCAAAAACAAAAGTGTTGCGTTTATAATTTTGTTCAGTGTATATATATATATATATATATATACACACACACAATTATTTTAATGTATTTTATTATTTATTTGCACTTTCTTGGTTATTGTAAGGAAAAATATCTTCATGTCTTCTTGTCTTCATTATTTTTTATCAAAAAGTAACTGGCTCAATCCATCTATTCCGAAACTTTTCATTATTAATCAATAATGATTTAATCAATATAAAACCAATTCTTGTAAAAGTAAAATTTAATGTTGACTGTAAACTTCTTTTCTCTGTTTGTTTTTTTCAGGACGGAATGAGCTGATTGCGCGATACATCAAGCTTCGAACGGGAAAGACACGGACCAGGAAACAGGTAGAATTATCTAGATTCTTACACTGATTCAAATTCTAGAATATTTGGATAATTAAGTACATTCACTGCCTTGTTTTCCTGTAAAATGTCTGAACATACTTTAAAGCAAGGTCTAAATTTAACTGATAAATCTGTGATGGCAACTAGAGTTTAACCTGTCCCTACTAAAGCGTGGATTAAATTGGTTAATTACTTTTATTTGACCTTTGTGTCACACATTAACAGCAAGAGGAAGTACAGCAAATGTCAGACTGGGACTTAGAGATGGGCTTGTCCTGTTAAACTCCCAAACAGACTTTCACTGAGTGTAAATGTTTGGCCTCTGAGGGCCTCGATGCTGAAATGGACTTCAGCGGTGTGATTTATCGCACGCGGATCGGATATCGGTGTGTGTCTTCAGCACCTCTCTCAGTCCCGCTCGTTAGACCCACAAACAACTGCTCGCTCCCGGTCGTCCCATTACGATCGGGGCACATCACACGCTGCCGGGGAGGGGGTTTGGAATCTAATAGCGTTCCCGCCGGCATTCGATATCGCATGATGTCACTCAGGCCTTGTCACATACTGAGTCTTAAGCCCTCGGAGAGAGTCGAGGTGAGCTGGGGGCCCGAGAGGAAAAATAATAACTAAAAACAAGAAGAGAAACTAGAAGCGCACCTGGTAAGTGGACAAATGAAGGTCAAAGCAATCGCTGGTTAGGTAAAGTTTTCCATGCATACTTCGTAATTTAAATTCTGTCCAAATTTAAAATCTGTTTGTTTTGCACAACCTTGGTTAAAAATTACAGAGCAAATTCACTTGGGTTTTTCATTTTAAGTTAAGCTTCCCTTGTGAAATCAGATAATTTATTCAAGTTGTTCCAAACCTGTATGAATTTTTTTCTTCCGTTGAACATTTTGAAGAATGTTGGTAACCAAACAGTTTCTGGTCCCCATTGACTTCCATTGTTTATTTCCCCCATACTATGGAAGTCAATGAGGACCAGAAACTGGAATAGTTCACCTGAAAATGAAAATTTGCTGAAACTGTGCTCATCCTCAGGCCATCCAAGATTAGGATGAGTTTGCTTCTTCATCAGATTTGGAGAAATGTAGCATTGCATCACTTGCTCACCAATGGATGTGAATGGGTGCCGTCAGAATGAGAGTCCAAACAGCTGATAAAAACATCACAATAATCCACAAATAATCCACAGCAGTCCAGTCCATCAGTTAATGCCTTGTAAAGCCAAAAGCTGCATGTTTGTAAGAAACAAATCCATCAAGACATTTTAACTTCAAATCGTTGCTTCCAGCTAAAATGCAAGTCCATAATCCATAATAACGCTTCCTCCAGTGATAAAGACATCTTGTCTGAATCAGGAGAGAAATCTGCACAGATGAAGCACTGTTAACAAGAAAAAAAAGAGCTCTAAACAAATATGTGGCTGGATTTTTATGTGAGAGACAACAGGAGACGGACTTTTTCACTGGAGAAAGCATTATTATGGATTATGGCCTGAAATGACGATTTACCATTAAAACTTCTTAATGATGGATTTGTTTCTTACAAACACGCAGCTTTTCTCTTCACTAGATGTTAGCTGATGGACTGGAGTGGTGTGGATTACTTGTGGATTATTGAGATGTTTTTATCAGCTGTTTGTATGCTCATTCTGACGGCACCCATTCACTGCAGAGCAAGTGATGCAACACTACATTTCTCAAAATCTGATGAAGAAACAAACTCATCTGCATCTTGGATGGCCTGAGGCTGAGCACATTTTCAGGAAATGTTTATTTTGGGTGAACTATTCCTTTAAAAAATAAATGATTATTAATTTGAAACGATAAGATCAGCTGGGCTGAAATCTTGTGTGTTTTCCGCAGGTCTCCAGTCACATTCAGGTGTTGGCACGACGGAAAGCTCGGGAAATTCATGTGAAACTGAAGGTAGCTAATGAACTCTGCTAATGCTGATCACCTGTTTGCAAATTAGCACCATTATCGCTTTACAGCCAAAGCATTTGTTAATGATGCAAAGAGAGGCTCGAATGCTGGACAATTGCATTAATCTGTGAGCGAATATAGCCTAGGCATGATTCAGATACAAATATAATTGCAAGCAATATCATACACTATGCTATAAATCAATTTCAGCACATCGCTAATTTTCAGAATACGTGTGACCTCTGGCTGTACAAGGGCTTAGCAGACGGCTCGGTAATGTCGAGTCTTCTCCTTGCGCGCTGCTGTCTTTCATCATATGGCATAGTTCACCCGTTGGCCATCGGCCATCTTGGCCCAGCTGTCTGAGTGCGGTTCTGGTCACACGGCTAACACTGACAGCCCTTTTAAATACGTTTCTGTAACTGAGAACTGTGACGGACTCACACATGCCCATATTTCAGCCTGCAGCGTTGCCAGATCGGGGCTGAAGAATGCATCGGCTAGTCATGCTTCAAGGACACAGCAGTTGCTTGGGCTAGTCGTGGATGACTGTGACCTCTCCATGCACATTCTCTTGATGCAACTTTGCTGTACATTCACTGAGGTTTAGGAGAAAGTAACTAAAAAAGTAAACTGATGTGAATTATTAAAACTGATATGAAGCATTAAAAAGGAAGATTAATTTTAGTGAATCGTTTCATTCATTACTTTTTTTTTTTTTTTGGACTGAGGCAATAATAAAATGCCCTAAAATGTCCTCTCTTTCTCATAAAGAAGCTTTTTTCATTTTTGTGAATCGGTTCACTTGGATGAACACATTAAAAACCGAACAGTTCACTGATTCTAGTCACTGCACAGAAGTTGCATTTTGTATTTTTTTAATATATTTAGTTTAAAATATATTCATTATAGTTAGATTTATTTTTAATAGACTCATTGTTTTATTCTTCTTCCCCCGAATGAACTGATTAATTTTTTTGTGAATCGGTTCATTTGGATGGACAAGTTCAGAAAGAATCAGTTCACTGATTCCAGTCACTGCGCAGAAGTCTGCTGCATTTCCCTGTTTTTAATGCTGATAGATTTTGGTTAAAGATACATTTATTATATTTAGGTATATTCATTTTTAAAAGATATATTTATTATTTTCAAACTGAGGCAATAATAAAATATGCTCAACTAAAGTGTCCTTCTCATATGAAGCTTTAGAATGACTGATTCATTTTAGTGAATCAGTTAATTCTTACGAACAAGTTCAAAAAGAAGCAATTCACTGATGCACTGATGTGTTGCAGTTCTGTTAGTTAAACATATATTATATTCAGATATATTTATTTTTAATAGTTATGCTTATTTTTCAAACTGAGGCACTAATAAAATGCGCTGAGCTAAAATGTCCACTCTTTCTCATTTAAAATGTTCAGAATCAAAAGACAGATTTGTTTTAGTGAATCAGGTTGTTTGTTCATCTAAATGAACCATTGAAAAGGGATTCATCAGTTCATTGATTCTCTCTACAGTAAGTTCACAGATTTTAGTTAAACGCTGTTCCTCACTGCTTATATGAGGTTTTCTTGTTCTATTGGTTGTATATAGTGTACATTTATAATTATATTTCACTCGTTGTATTTAGCATCTTTTTCTTAGGAGCTTACAGTGTAAATAACTCTTTTTTTTTTAAACTAGCTTTACAGTAGTTAAATTACAATTATTAGTAGCTTGTAACTATTATCTTTCTCAACACTGAACTTGCAAATGCATTGGTTGCATGACGGATTTGACTTCTTGTTTGAGGCGTCTCACATTCACGTCCAGCAGATCCCAGGCGTTCCTAGTTCTCTGACTGTCGTTGATTTTCTTACTTCAGCAGCTAATCCAAAGGGGAGCTGTGCCTTCACACACACTGCTTTTCCAAGCCTGGTCTCCTGTTTCATAATGTTGGAGCTCACAGCTCTTCATTTGACCTCTATAGGAGAAGGAGTCAACCTGTCAACAGCACTCAAACGCTGCCAGAGCCATAATAATCTAAGAAAAGAAACTATAAAACTATATCAGTATTTGTATTTTATAACTAAAAAGGTGCAATTTACAATTAGAGACAACATAATTTATAAATGAATAATTGAATCAGACTTTTTAAATGGATTAATAGAAAATCTGTTTGAAATGATTTGTGGAAATGAATCAAACTTACATATTTTAACTAATTGTATTTAATTTTTTCTTATTTATTTTAATTGTTTAATGTTATTGTGTTCTTTATTTTTAAATGTTTTTTTTTTTTTTTTTTTATAAAAATGCCTTTATTTTTCATGACACATTATTTTTTTTTTTAAATTTTTTTTTTTTTTTTTTTTTATAAAAATGCCTTTATTTTTCATGACACATTACTCTTTTTTTGTGAACCATTTAACTCAGACGAACAATCTCAAAAAATGGAGCATTTCCCTGATTCAGTTCACTGCGCAGAAGTTGTATTTTGCATTGCTTTTTAAAGATTTAGTTAAATATATTTATTATATTTACATTAATTTATTTTTAATAGATATACTTCTTTTTTTGAGCAATAATAAGATAATAAAATCCTCTCAGCAGTTGATTTCAATCACTGCGCAGAAGTCTGTTGCATTTTGCTGTTTTTTTTGTGATGCATTTAATATAATTTAATTAAATGTATTTTTATTTTATTATTTTATTTTTATTTTTTTATATTGTATATGTGAATGTATATTCAGTGTTACTAATGCTAATAACAGAACAAAACTATTGTTTATTAATAAGAATAACTCAACCTAGATTTGATTGGGGTATACATTTATGATGTTCCTGATGTTGTTGTCTTCTGACAGGACCAGGTTGCCAAAGACAAAGTCATGCAGAGTATGTCCACCATGTCTTCTGCTCAGATCATCTCAGCCACAGCCTTTCAGAATAAGATGGCTCTACAGGGCCTCTCGCGGCTGACCTACCCGACCGCTGCTGGGGTGAACTCTAACATTCACTTATGATTAGGGATGTAACGATTCACTCACGATTTGATTCGATTCACGATTTTTTTTAACAAAATGAGATTTAAGACAAATGATAAATTAAATGTGTCCTTTTATTATTGCTTGGACAAAATACTGTACGTTTCTTTGTGAAATTGAAATATAACACTATAATAATATACTAATATAGCACTTGCATATTATTGCTCTTTTGTTGGTTTTGATTGCTTCTATTGTCCTCATTTGTTAGTCGCTTTGGATAAAAGCGTCTGCTAAATAACAAAATTTAAATATAATGTAAATGTAAATAACAAAACTGAATAGAAATTTTAAAACAAGCCCCAAATCAAATAAATAAGTAACACAAATAAAAGAAATCTCTTCATATAAACAAACTAAGGCTTTGTCTGTGCTCTTTCCATTTAAAATTAGAGGCAACCACTGCATT